AAGAGTAAGTATTTTTTCAGTAGTGCTCTCAGTTCACATTCTCCAGTCCAGGATCTCCAATATGTGCTGGTTCTGCAACTTCCTGCTTTGCACTTTCGGCCCTCTGTCCCTCCTTCATACTGCTGTACCTTTCAGACCTCCTCCTCGCAAACTGTTCTTCCATTTCCTCCTCTTGCCAGCATATTGGCTTTTTTGTTCTAATAATTACACGTACATGCACTGCCTCAGCACTAGCTCCTTCTACATAAGAATCCAAGAGTATCGTCTGGTTAGTTAGTATAAACACATCTCAAAACCATGTGGGCCACAGCTGTGGGGGAAAAGACCAGAGGAAACCCTTTTAACAAAGGTCACCTCTTGTAGGATGAGAGGGTCAAATTAAGAATAGAAGGTCAGAGCTTGGCTTGGACTACTCAGTAGCTGTGAGGCCTTGACCGCTCTAAACTTCAGCTTCCTTGTGTACAACAGAGGGGTATTTAAACCTACAAGGATTAAATAATGCATGCAAAGCCAGAACAATACTAAGGAAATGGAGTTATGCATAATTCCATCATCTAAAGATTAGCACTATTAACGTTTGGACTATTTCTGTCTAACCTTTCTCCTTAGATTCTGTGAGTACATGTGGGTCTGCATATAGTTTGGAATTACAATGCATAAGCAGTTCGGCTTCTATGGTTTTGTTCTACTGGGCTTTACATTAGGGCTTTTTATATCATGATGATTCTTAATGGCTACATTATATTTCCTTTTATTGATGGGCATGAGTCAACATTCCCCTTCTTCTGTTTGACACTTAAACTGACAAATTACAATCTTTAACTTCTTTGCTTTTCCATTTTCCTTTTTTTTCTTTCCTAGAAAACATCTGTTCTGCCTTCTCTATTTCACCTGTGAGCTAATACATCACCTAGTTGTGTGAGACACATTTTATCAGGGAAGAAAAGAAAGAATGGTGGCTTTAGAAAGTGATGTTAAATTTCACATATTAAGCTTCTAAAAACCACTGGCATGCCCAAAAGTCCCATCTTTGCACACATCATCAGGCCCCCTTTAATTTGTATTGTCTTCTTCCATTGGAATGTAAGTGCTCAAAAAAAAAAAAAAAAAGGAATGTAAGTGCTCTAAGGACAGGGCTTCATCTTTTTTTTTCTTTAGAAATTAAAACAGTACCTAGAGCAGAATTAGTGCTCACTATATTAAATATTAGTTGTTATTATGTGCCAGGCACATTCTAAGAATTTGCATACCCGCTGAGGTAGACTGATCATTTTCCTCATGGTCACAAAGACGCTAAATAACGTATTAAAGGTCTCACAAGAAATACTCAGTAAAGCTAGGAACAGAACTCAGGCAAGCCCAGCTATCAACCAAGAAGCTGTACTTAATAAATTGATTAATTATACCAGCAGAGCTCCATATTCAGCATTAAACACTAAGTACGATTATGCTTTTTCTAATTAAATGTCAACATTATTATTTAGTTTTATTCATTACAAATATATATCAACTATGTCAAGGACTAAACAGATTTGGCACGGCAACTCCATGACCCTAATCACCATTAATATTTGGATTCCAAAAATACGGTCTTGAGGGAAAAAAAAAAAAAACTTATGGACTTTTAAAATAACCTGTTTAGACCTAGGATACTTACTTCTATTTTTCCTTAGCTTCAGCAGTTGCTGTTGCCAATCTAAATGTTTTGATTTAATTAGAGAAAACATTTTCTAGATAGACTACAATTGAAATCAACATATTTTCTAGAAAATGCTGCACTTTCTTTCCTCATTCCAGGTTATTTTGAGAAGGATTCACTTCTCCCAAGAGTTTAAAGAAAAAAAAAAAAAAACAGTACTTAAACCTACGTCAACCTCCCTACTCCACCTACCCCACCGCAGCAATCCTAATAGCATATCTCCTTGTTCTTCTATCAGTAACTGGAGCTTTGAAAAAGGCTCTATGTATAAACAGATTTCAGTCCGTTTTGTGGCTTTTACTCCTTTATAAGAAATGTAGAGGACAACTGTAGAAGCCTGTGGTAGTGAGTGTCCAAATACAGAGGCAGACAGTAAGGAGACCAGACTACCAAGAAAAATGTGTCATTCACATCACAATCTATTTTATGACCCGAAAAAACCTGGCTTTTGTCACAGTCCTATATTCAAACACTCAAAGCCACTCGATCTGAATACTTACTAGTAAGTTGGAGCCAAAAGACTTTTTTAACATTTAAAGGTTCCCACACATGTCCCTGAACAGACATTTCTAAAACCTTCCATCAATCACCCAGTCCTTGGCCAAACTGTTGTTAGTCAATGGCTGGCTCAGTCCCTTTGGTTACAATGTAACAAGAGATAAGAGACTGGGAGAAACAGTTTAGCCATGTTCTCTCATGGAGCTTAACATTTACTTGTTTTACAAACTAAGCCATGAATAGCAAATAAAAAGCAGGTTTGTTTGTTTTGTTTTGTTTTTTAAATACTGGCTTCCTATGTCATTATAAAATGGATGGTTCCACTGGCTACCCAGACTACACAATAGCAAGCAAAACCCTCTGACCTTGGAAAAGCACAGTCAATGTAATACCTACCAATAAATTACATGGTTTACCAATTTCCTCAAAACCAAAAATAAATCTCTAACAACTATTTCATGAGTAAACAAAAGCTTGTCTTGTTCTATCATTTGCTTAAAGGCAAGCATAGTGGCTATGGGAGGGATTAAGAAGCACAGCCAGACAAGTCCATAAAACCTCAGTGTAAGATAAAACCACCCTGCAAGGGCAGCCAATGCAGTCTGACCTAACAGCTGTACACAGTTGCACTAATTAAAATGAAAAGCTAGTCTGCATAACACACAGGCAATTCACTGAACCCTACTGAAAGGGTGACAGGGTTCACCATCCCACTCTTTGCCCCCCCCCACAGGCAATGTAAACAATAAATTGGCACATAGCTGATGATACCTGAATTTGGAATATATATACATTCAAGCATTTCAGAAATAATCACAACCATGCGGACTGAAACATATCCTATAGGAACACTGGCTATAAAAAACCATACACACACAAAGGAAGTGGTACAGCTACATTACGTCAGCTCTCGCCTCAATTCATAAATGCAAAACCACAAAAACAAGACAAAAATTTAAATGGCCTTTTTCTAAAACCCTTCTTACAGTGAATGAATGTAGGGTAAGTCTTTAAATAAGTCACTGAACAGTACATTGATGCATCACTCTCAACAGCCAGGGAAAGGAAAAGTGTAACCTTAGTCAATTCTATCATGCAACCAGATCAAATAACATTTCAAGCGCCGCCTGCCAAGCACCAGGGCCTGCCAGAGTACAATGAGCACTCAAGTGCTCTGGACTGAAAACCACCTTTCACTGGTCTCAGAGATCTTTACAAAATGGTTTAAACACTACTAAATTACAGAGTTGGAAAAAACAAATACAAGCTTCTAACTGCTGCTCCCACAGTATTGTGAAGTTGCTGTTAAGCCTCTAAAATGTCTGCCTTGTGTTATTTTACTAAGCAATGTAAATATTCAGAAAGGCAAGTGCCTCTTAGAGCTCAAATCTAACACATGCATAAAAATGTAGAGTTGGTTGTGCATCTGGAAATAATTGCCCACAGATCAACGGGCTTACAGGGGATATTGTTCCCATCTGTAAGGTTTCAAATCATGTCTACTTTACATGTGGAGTTCCTAGCCAAAAAGAAGGAGGAGAATGAGGAGGAGGAGAGAAGGAGGAAGAAAAGAAGGAAAAGAAGCTCAATACATTAATTTTGGCACAGAATTTTAAGGACTTTATCAACTCTTGTTCTCAACTTTCACTCAGTGTCTCAATCTTAAACCACACAGACACAATTTTCAAAGGGAAAAATTAATCCTTGTTGACCCCCTAGGTTCTTTCACATGACACTTTTTAAATTTCCATATGGCTAAGAGGTAGCCTCCAGCCAAACAATGCCCCAAGGAGAGCAGCAGAACATGTGCCCAAGGAAAGCCTAAAAGCGGAGAGTAAAACAAAGTAACCCATTAAACAGGTCTCAGCAAACAGGAAAGTGGTCAAGCAGGTCTCCCCAGAGCCTCAAGGAGGGCCGAGTAAACAAGGGGAAGGAGAGGGGAAGCCGGCACCTCAAACCAAAACAATTTTAACAATTTAAAGTTAAAGCCATCTTTTTCAAAACTATCTCTGCATTTTAGCTAGTCTGGCAAAACAACAGTTTTTTGGTCCCAGAAACAAATTATATTTGTCACTTATGTAGCCATAATCAAGTCCATCAAATTCATTGTATCTTTAAAATTAAATTTACTCCACAGTAAGCAATGAAGTTTCTAATCAGTGACTAGATTACTTTGCTCATCTTTAGTAACATATTCCTTTCAAAAAAGACAAAAACAAACATACACATACACACAAATACACACACACACACACAAATCTTTTAAAAATAGTGTTTTCTCTGCCCTGAAGGGTGTTTTTTAATTGGTTTATTAAGTTGGTATTTCTAGAGTTTGAGTGATTAAAAAAAAAAACACTAAACCCAACAAAAATGCAATGAGACACTACAAAAACTGATTCCTGATTCCTGGAAAGCCATTACCATTCTTAATACCAAAGTGGTTCATATTTGCAGGGTCAACTACAACACTCTCAGTACACCCACCTCCGAGAGCCCCTGTGCCCACACTTGTCCAACTTCCTGACCCGCGACCCGCATCCCCCTTGCAGCATAAGGCTCTGGCCACTTGCCTGCGGCGGGTCGCGGCAGGAGCTGAGCCCGCAGGCCTCGTCCTCCTCCGGCGCAGGGCCCCCAAACTCAGGCCCGCAGGCAGGGGCGGGGCGGGCAGGGGCTCGGGGCGTGAAATGCACTTGCTAAACAAAAGGAGGCCCTGGCGGCCACAGGGCAGCGCAGCTCGGGCTCATGTCCCCCAGCTCGGTGGCTTCGGGAGGTGGCGGCGTGGGGCCCCGCCCGTGGCTGGGGGATGCAGCCGCTGCTCCGGCTTGCGCTCCTTCAGCCCGGGCAGCCGGGCCAACACTGCCACATGCCTGTGACCCAGACGCGGGGAGAGAAAGAGCAGCCACCCCACGACAGCGGTGGCGGCGGCGGCGGCGACCGGAAAAACCCGGGCTGGAGTTTGGACTGCTCTGCGCGCACCCTTGCCCGCCTCCACCACGGCGGGCGGGGGCGCGCGCGCACACACATACACACACGCCACTGCAATTTTATCTCCTTCCGAGCTAGGCTAGCCTCTTCTCTCCTCATGTCTCCCTCCCCTCCCGACAGCCGGAACTAGGAGGCTGCGTGATTGATGGCAGCTCTTAATAGCGTGGTCAGCTAGAAAATGCATCTGCAAGCAAGATATTAAAGAGGCAGCGAGCGCATCCCTCTGATCAGCAGTTCACACAACCTAGAGCTGCCTCTGCTTCCGCGAGGAATATTAATGCCAACCACCTCTGACGTCTAACAAAATGCAGATGAAATAACCAATAATCATAGGCATACAGAACATTTGTTTCAAAGATGCAAATAGAAAGAAGCATTGTTTGAGGTCAACATTTCTGACCCCAATTTTCCTTATAGTTTTTAGGAATTCTCTGTAAATCATTAAAAGTCTTATTATCTCTCTGATCCTTTTTCCACAGAAAAATAAAGGTCCCTCTGCTAGACAAGGTTTATCTTAAATTAGGCTTGATTGAAATCCATCTAATAAGGAAGCAATATAAATGTCTATTTTTTGCCATGGAGCCTTAAATAAACATATATACTACCCCACACCCCTCATTAACTTTACTTTTTATGTGCATCTAAATAGATTACCCACTGTTAATCTCGTTAGTTTCTTCCCCTAAAATTTAGTAACATTAAACTGCATTTATACTAGGTATGCCCTTAACCCTCAAGATCATTTTGTTCCAATTAAGACAATCCATAGCAAATTTTTAAAAACACATTCCCTACAGCATATGAATTCAAAGTATTAAACTCACTCAATGTCAACCCAAATCTGAAGTTACAAGCTCAAAATTTAAATGATCTCTTTTGCTATCTTCAATAGTACACCTTTTGCCTTCCAGGCAAGTTTCATGGAACTCTGAAATAGCTTTATAAATGTTACTGGACCTTCCAAAGTCCAATAAAGTTGCTGAATTATTAGATACCCCCTTCCAATAGTCAGAGATTTAGATAAAATGATAAGCCCAAAGACTCTCAAAGGGGGTCAGAGTGGAGAGCATAGAGTACAGGGGTACTCCTGCCTTGCTGGCACAAATAACCAAAGTGATAGGTCCATTTGCTATTTAAACATCATTCTGCTGATTTCTCTCAAAGAAAAATCAAGTTATTCTACAGGAGATAGAAATATCTATCTAAAATCACTAACACAACACATGTAGTGAGAGCAAGACCTGATGAAGCATAATGCCTTTGCCATCCTGAAAGGTAGCTGTGATCAATACAAATCAGAGATGGTCTATAGCGCAAGTGTAGCTCTGCTATAAGCTCCACTAAACACCATTCCTCACTGAGATCATCCTGAGAGGATCTGCGGCTTCGAAATCTGCTACGTAACCAAGTGGTACTGAGATCACTCCACATATGTCAGAGATGAAATCCACCCTAAAGCCTAGCTACAAAAGTCACTCTTGTACATGGACACACTTCAAATTTTCTAACCATCTATATCTAGATACATGGCAGAGTATGACAAGGGTTCTGGTTATTTTGGGTGGGTTTTTTGTTGTTTTGTTTTTGTAGACCCTTTTAAAAATGCTGGTTTACAGTGAGTTGTAAAGGGCTGTTAAGAACAACTAAACTGCTCTATTCTGAATTCATGCTGTATCTAGTCTGTCAGGGATTCTAAATGCTTTGACAGCACTTTATGATACTTAATACTCTTGTCTTGCATCCTCTCCTAGTCCTCCACCTTCCAGTTATACCAGTCTTTCAAATTTCCCAAGGTATCAGGATTTCTACCACAGGCCACCAGCACACTGCTTCTTCCCATTAGAGCAGGACATTTTCCCTGTTAGTCCCAACACACACACACACACACACAGTTTAAAGCCTATACTACTTCATCTCAAGTCAAATATCACTTTGTCAGAGTAACTTCCCTTGAGGCCCCACTCTAGGCTAAGTTCCTTTGTCATAAGTTCCCAGAGATCTGTGTTATTTTCCTTAAGAGCACTTACCTCAGTTTCTAATTCATTGATGTGATTATCTGGTTAATGTCCATAGACCCCTCTAGACAGTGAGTTCCATTAGAGAAAGTTCTATATATTTGCTCATTAACAAATACCGGGTGTCATACATACAGATTTGTGGAATAAATAAGTGAACAGAGGAACAACCTTGTTTTACTCATTTTGCATATTCTCTGCACAGTTCTTGGCACAAAAGAGCATCTGTCAAATAAGCAGCATCTATAGGTATTAATAGTATTTATTTTATTAACCTTTAAAAGTCTAGTAAAAGAAGATTTTTATCCCTGCTTTATAGAGATATAAATAATTATGCCCAGGGTAATTCATTAAAAACACGGAGACCCTAACCAGTTCCTATTTGCAAGGTTCACTTTTCTTTTTTTTTTTTTTTAAGAGTTAACGAAGTACAGAAGCCATCATTAATTTACTCAAACCAAATTCTTCCTACTTACCTGGCATTTAAGAGAGAGGCAAACAGCAGTGGATAAAGTGGACAGACTACTAAATCTTGTACACAGGTAACAATATAAACATAATATAAAAATCTGAAAGCACATGGTACTTTAGTCTGTCTTCAACACTTCTCTCGGAATGCAAAAGTACCACCAAATTCTGCAAGGGAAGAGGATAATCCTCAGCTCTCTTTCACACTGAACTTTTCTTCCATTTTTTTCTCTAAGAGACCTCTATTTCCCTGACATAAAAGCCTTCATGGAGGCTTTCTTTTGACCTGAGGACACACCAGTCAGTGGTGACAGACCATTCCAAAACCACCCTCCCCAATTCCTCAAATAAGAATTCATTTTAAATCCTATTAAACCTCTTTCTAACTAGGGCCCAGTAGAACGGCTCCTGCAAAGAAGGGTGGCGAGAAGAAGGGCCGTTCTGCCCTCAACGAGGTAGTGACCAGAGAATACACAATCAACATTCACAAACGTATCCATGGAGTGGGTTTCAAGAAGTGTGCCCCTCAGGCACTCAAAGAGATCTGGAAATTTGCCATAAAGGAGATGGGAACTCCAGATGTGAGCACTGACACCAAGCTCAACAAAGCTGTCTGGGCCAAAGGAATAAGGAATGTTCCATACCGCATCCGTGTGCGGTTGTCCAGAAAATGTAACGAGGATGAAGATTCATCGAACAAGCTCTATTCGCTGGTTACCTACGTACCTGTCACCACTTTCAAAAATCTACAAACTGTTAATGTGGATGAGAACTAATCGCTGATTGTAAAATAAAGGTATGAAACTGCAATAAAATAAAAACTAAAAAATAAATCCTATTAATCTCAGCTTGTAAGTTAGGAGATCTATAGATGAGAAATGCTAGTTTTTGCAATAACAATTTCGCAACAAGTTTTGCGCTTGAGCATATGAAAAATTAAAAGAATGTGTGAGATGAATTAAAAATATTAGATATACCGGACTCTGACCTCCAAATTAATCCTGTTATTTTTAGCATTCCACATGGCCGTTCTTGCTTCCCACAGGATCTTACCCTGGCCTGTCTCGGTTTCCTTTTGTCATGAGTTCCATTCCACTGAAATTCCAGCTCCAGGTTTTAGAAACCCCTACATTTATCAAAACAACCCTGTCAAGTAGAGTACCATTAACAGATAATGAGAGGAGACAACAGATGTGGTTAGAAGCAAAGCACTCCATATTCTACAGGCCTCAGCATGCAGCCTAGTGAGCTGACATCTGACTTTACCCTAACAGTTATAATTAAATACAAAGTCTAGCTAAACTAACATTAAAGCTATGACCAGAAACAGTACACAAGGGAAATGTAAAGTATAACCTTAGCACTAGCTGAACAAGGCCCAAGCTATTCCTGACCCTTAACCTCCAACAACTGCACTGCATTTACTCTCTATGCCACTCTGTTTCTGTCACAGGAAGACTCTTGGCCACATCTTCTAAAGATGGTGGCCTTGGACTACTCCCCCCAAGACCACCAAAGGAGCTCAGAGACAGTATTTTTTTTACATGAAAGTTTAAAGGTAACATGCATCTAACAATAACTTAGTGAGGTCTGCCAAGAGTCTATCACGTTGAGACAATCAACACATGCTTTCCTATTGCATTATCTAGTAAAATCATCCAGATCCAGTAATTAAGCTCACCTTTTCCCCCAGTTATCAAAATGTCAAAAACAAACAAAGTCAATCAAGCAAACAATGATGGACTAAAGGGTTGTGTTAGTAGTTGTTAGCTGTGTTTGCAGAGTGTAGACAGATAGGTTTGTATTACTGAGCAGAATATAGTTCTATTTTTAAGCAACTGTCTCCTCTTTCTGTTTTCCAACTCACAAAACGGCACCACGTATCAAAACCTCTGGAGTTTTCAAAATTTTCTTTAAAAAAAGAAAAATAACTAGAAATAACATCAGATTCTAAAACATTCTAAAACAGGGATCCCTGGGTGGCGCAGCGGTTTGGCGCCTGCCTTTGGCCCGGAGCGCGATCCTAGAGACCCGGGATCGGATCCCACTTCGGGCTCCTGCTGCATGGAGCCTACTTCTCCCTCTGCCTGTGTCTCTGCCTCTCTCTCTCTCTCTTTCTCTCTCTCTCTCTCTCTGTGTGTGTGTGTGTGTGTGTGTGACTATCATAAATAAAAAAATAAAAATAAAAATGACTGAGTGTTAAACATGTTAAAATTATAAAAAAATAAAATAAAATAAACATAAAACATTCTAAAACATCAGATTCTAAAAACCAAGGAGACTAACCTGTAACTATAATGACACCATAGTGTTAAACCATAAAGAGCACACTCTCCAAAATTATATAGGGACAACATTAAGGTCGGATGTTAATACAACTTTTGTTTTGTTTTACACTTCCTTATAGAGCCTCAAACAAGTATTTCAATGACCGACTGCTAATAAACATTTAAAGGGTTATTACTTCATGAAACAGAAAAATTATCGACATTATTAAAACATTTCTTGGGGGGCAGAGGGGACACAGCTTGCAGCACCAAGTTCCATTTTTATAAGAACAGAGAGCAGAAGTACTAACTCCAGTGGAGACTCACAGCAAACTCTTCCAACATAGTAAGTCCATCGAAGCATGTAGCCCTCCAATGGATGCAGGATGTGAAATAGATCTTAAAGCAACTTGAAAGAGAGACAGAGAGCGACCTCTAAGATAGCATGTGTTTAAAAAACTTAAAGACATTTTCATCTCTATTTTTAAAACACACTAATGATCTCGGATTGTATAGATGAAATAAATCATAATGTTCCAATAAAACAATACTTGAAAGGGCAAAAATACAGTTAAAAAAGAGAGATTTCTCATTTGAAAAAGTATTACAAAATTTTTTTAAAAAGAGTTTTGTGGAAGAAATTAGCTCAAGCACTTATGACCTTGACAGGGAGTTTAGAATGGGGCCCTTTCCATACTGTCTGAGCTGACAACATATGATAAAACCATATCCAAGCAAGTTTACTGGAAGTAATCGTAAGAAAACGAAAAACTCCAACTGGAATCATTAAACCCTTGAATTCAAAATACCAGATTTTTGTGCAACTAAAATAATGATTACAAATCCAAACACTGCTTTGCCCTTCTTTAAAACAAAACAAAACAAAAAACTGACCCATGTTCTCTCTGGTAATGTGCGTCTAAATAAACTCCTTTAAAATAAAAATTACAAACATCTATTTTCAGAAAAATATGAATTTAAAGGTTTCAAAACATTAAATGAGTACCATTTCCCAGGTTCCTTATCACAGGTAGTGTTAACAACCCAGTACTTTTCTGCTTAAAAACCAATCACTTCTCTCTAGAAAATGTCAGAAGACTCTATTTAGTTCAAAATATCCATTCAAACATGCAACACATTGGCTAAGACAAAATCAAAAGCCACAGTCTCAAGAATGTTTGACCTAAACAACACGGGGTGGTTTCTCTTTTTTTCTTTTCTTCTCTTTTTTTTGAAGGAAGGAAGGAGAGGTTAGAGGTGAGTGAGATTATTGTGAAGACAAATTCACAACGTCTATTCAAGTTTAATTTTAACTGACTTGAAAAAGCAAATATTTGGACTACAGGAAACACAACTCAGTACAAAGGGAAACATGGGCTAACTTTTAACAATTACATCATTTGATTAATTCTTAACAATAAAACCTAAACACAGATCATCCCCTCCAATCTGCAGAGCAAGCTAACTATACAATGAAAAATATGAGAGCCCTATCAGACTCTGGTATGTTTAAACAGTTACAATGTAAAGCATGTTCTTTCTCACAAGTGAAAGGAAATGACTGCCAAATGCTTCTTTTACAATCTCTCCAGAATAGGGCAGATCCTTTTAATGTGAGATTTTCCTGACATTCCAATTGTAGCAGACCTTGAGCAAACAGAGACGCATTAAAAGCTGACCTGGTTCTATTATCTTTTATTGAAAGCCTAGCAAAGATCAGACATGAGTCCAGTGCTATTTACATTTTTTGGTGCATTAATTACTTTTATACTCAAGGGCTTTAGAAAAATTCAATAGTTGTGTGTGTGTGTGTGTGTGTGTGTGTGTGTGTGTGTGTGTGTGTGTGTGTGTGTTTTAATGACAATAACCACAGGATGTAACCATAGCTGTATTGGTCTTTTCTCAGGAAGGTCAGAAAAGCTTTAAAAACAGGAAGTCTGTGCTATAAGGTTGAAAAATGTTTGTTTTAAGAGTCTAAGGCTTTATGGTTGCAGTTTGCAGTCAAGTATTATGGAGGCCTAGAGTTTATTCTTCCCAGCCAAGGATTAATGTCCCTGGGGAAAAGGCCAAAAAGGTGCCTAAACAACTAGAAAACCACATTATCCTAAAATAAGACTTATGAAATCTGAACTATAAATCTTCCGAGCTATCCTTCAACATTAAAAGAGGAGCTAATTTAGTGAGCATAGTAGAACAGTTTATCTCCTGTGATAATTTATAAAGCCTAAAGGAAAAACCATAGTAACGAGTGCTAAAACAGCCGTAGAGCAACAGTTAGCAGCTGGATTAAGATTGATACTTGCCATTTTATACATGTTTTCTATTGATCACCCCATTCATTCTCATTACACTAAATTAAATATAAATCAAATATAATGACAATACTCCTTGAATGCAAATTTTGCTAAGAAACCAAACCAATGTAGATTAATTTTTTAAAGTTTGTTTATTCTCAACAAAATGATTGATTTCTGCTTTTAAAAAAAGGACATACTTGGGGAATCCCTGGGTGGCGCAGCGGTTTGGCGCCTGCCTTTGGCCCAGGGCGCGATCCTGGAGACCCGGGATCAAATCCCACGTCGGGCTCCCGGTGCATGGAGCCTGCTTCTCTCTCTCTCTCTCTCTCTCTGTGACTATCATAAATAAATAAAAATTTTAAAAAAAAATTTAAAAAAAAAAAAGGACATACTTTGGGCGTCTGGGTGGCTCAGTGGGTTAAGCATGAGCTTGATTTCAGCTCAGGTCATGATCTTAGGGTCCTGGGATCAAGCCCAGAGATGCGCTCCACACTCAGGGATGAGTCTGCTTGAGATTCTCTCTCTTCTTCTTCCTCTGCCCCTCCCCTTCGCACACGCACACACGCGCTCTCTCTCTCTCTCTCTCTCAAAAAAAGGGGGGGAGGGTACATAATTTTTTTTTAATTCTACTAGGGTGTAAAAGAAATTCATAACATAGCCAACATGAAAGTTATTTTTAAAAATCTAGTTTCATGATTCTATTCTTTATTTAGCCTAAAACAAAACAGAAAGAAATGTTTTGTCATTTGTGGACTCCAATTTACATGAAATTAAATGTTATATTACAAAAATTTTAAGGCAAAGAGTCCAAATATTATAATATGTATCTTATCAATTTAAAATCCATTGGGAGATACGTTCGTTAGATTACTCCTTTCTGCCCCTGGACACCGCCGAGTAAGCATCATTAAAGTCTCCCCTCCCACCACCGTCATGTCTAAGTCAGAGTCTCCCAAAGAGCCTGAGCAGCTGCGGAAGCTCTTCATCAGAGGTTTGAGCTTCAAAACAACCGATGACAGTCTGAGGAGTCATTTTGAGCAATGGGGGACGCTTACGGACTGTGTGGTAATGAGAGACCCCAACACCAAGTGCTCTAGAGGCTTTGGGTTCGTCACCTACGCTACTGTGGCGAAGGTGGATGCAGCCACGAATGCTCGGCCACACAAGGTGGACAGAAGAGTCGTGGAACCAAAGAGGGCTGTCTCCCGAGAA